ATATTTAAAGAGTTATTCAGTCAGATGTGGTGATATCTGCCTTTAATCTCAGAGATCGGGAGGCTAAGGCTGAAGGATCACAAGTTTGAGGCCAGTTTCAGCACCTTCACAAGACTCTAAGGAACACAACAAATAACTATGTCAAAATTTAAAAAAAGAAATACCAATGTTGCTCAGTGTTAGAGTTCCACCAGGCTAAAGCTCCATTACTATATATATATATATATATATATATATATATATATATATATATATATATATATATATGGCAGTGTGAGCCTTTTCTTGTCTTTGAAGGTGGCAAGAAATACTGATTTAACCACATTTCACATTTAAAGGATTTTTCTCCAGTAAATTTTCTACATATTTATGAGGGAAACAGTAGTAACAGTAGACTTTGCCAATTGTTTTCATGAGTAAAATCTCTCTTCAGTATGTGTTCTTCAATGTGTGTAAAGATGCGGTGATGTAGCAAAGGCCTTTTCACATTTTTTATATTCATAGGGCTTCTCTACAGTATGTAATTTTTTATGTTGGTGAAGGTTAGAGGATGTAGCAAAGGCTTTACCACATTGTTGACATTCATAGGGCTTCTCTCCAGTATGAGTTCTTTTATGTGTTTGAAGGTGAGAGGACTGAGTGAAGGCTTTTCCACACTGCTCACATTCATATGGCCTCTCTCCATTATGTGTTCTTAAATGATTTTGAAGGTAAGAGGACCGAGTTAAGGCTTTACCACATTGTTTACATTCATATGGCCTCTCTCCAGTATGAGTTCTTTTATGTGTTTGAAGGTGAGAGGACTGAGTGAAGGCTTTTCCACACTGCTCACATTCATATGGCCTCTCTCCAGTATGTGTTCTTAAATGAGTTTGAAGGTAAGAGGACTGAGTGAAGGCTTTGCCACACTGCTTACATTCATGGAGCTTCTCTCTTGTATGAGTTTTTACGTGTACGTGAAATTGACAGGATCTAGCAAAGGCTTTTCCACATTGTTTGCATTCATAGGGCTTCTCTCCAGTATGTGTTCTTTTATGGTTTAGTAGATGAGAGGACTGAATGAAGGCTTTTCCACACTGCTTACATTCATAGGGCCTCTCTCCAGTATGTGTTCTTTTATGGTTTACAAGATGAGAGGAGTGAGTGAAGGCTTTACCACACTGCTTACATTCATGGAGCTTCTCTCTTGTATGAGTTTTTACATGTATGTGAAATTTACAGGATTTAGCAAAGGCTTTTCCACATTGTTTGCATTCATAGGACTTCTCTCCAGTATGTGTTCTTTTATGGTTTAGAAGACTATAGGACTTAGTGAAGGCTTTGCCACACTGATTACATGCATAGGGCTTCTCTCCAGTGTGAGTTCTTCCGTGTCTGTAAAGATCACTGGATGTAGCAAAGGCTTTCCCACACTGCTTACATTCATAAGGCTTCTCTCCAGTATGCGTTCTTCTATGTTTCTGAAGGTCAGAGAACTGAGTGAAGGCTTTGCCACACTGCTTACATTCATGGAGATTCTCTCTTGTATGTGTTCTTACATGTACTTGAAATTGACAGGATCTAGCAAAGGCTTTTCCACATTGTTTGCATTCATARGGCTTCTCTCCAGTATGAGTTCTTTTATGGTTTAGAAGATGAGAGGACTGAGTGAAGGCTTTCCCACACTGATTACATTCATAGGGCTTCTCTCCAGTGTGAATTCTTCCGTGTCTGTAAAGATCACTGGATCTAGCAAAGGCTTTTCCACACTGCTTACATTCATAGGGCTTATCTCCATTATGTGTTCTTTTATGGTCTAGAAGATAAGAGGACTGAGTGAAGGATTTGCCACACTGCTTACATGCATAGGACCTCTTTCCAGTGTAAGTTTTTCCATGTTTATGAAGCTGATGGGATCTAACAAAGGCTTTTCCACATTGYTTACCTTCATAGGGTTTCTCTCCAGAATGTGTTCTCTGGTGTATTCTGAATAAACAGGGATGAGCAAACTGTTTCCCACACACCTTGCATTTAAAACRTGTATTCCCACTGTGCCTTATCGTGTGAGTTGGAAGACTTCTGAGTGTAATGAAGGTTTGATCACCTTGTTTATATTCATAGAATTTCTTTCCAGAATGAGTTTCTTCATGTCTCCTCAAAAAAGATGGGAAAGGAAAGGCTTTCCCACATACCTCACATTTAAAAGATTTGCCTCCACTGTGTGTTCTCATGTGTCTTTGAACACCTGGGAGAGAAGAAAAGGCTTCACAACATTTTTGACCTTCATGGGGTTGCCATCCATGAGTTTTTTCATGTCTTTGAATGTCACTGGGACAAMTGATGACTTTCCCACATACTGTACTTTCATAAAGTTCATCTGCAGATTGTATTAATATTTGTCTCTGAACACTTTCAAGAGAAACCAGAGATTGCCTGTACTGTTTAAATTCACATGGCTTSTCTTCACATTCCTCATGCTTGTAGAATTTGATTCCAGAGTGAGAACTGGTCTGCCTATAAAGGAATGAAGGGCATATGAAGTCTTTTGCACACATGATGCAGTAATTTGGACTTACTCTATTACACTATTTCTATGTCCAGTTGAAAATTGGAATGTCATTGAAAGTTTCCCCAAACTATCTTCTTTGCCTTTGAATTTCAAGATATAACTTCTTTGAAGAACAATACTCACATTATCAGTGCTTAATTCATGCATGATTTTCTATTTATTTATAGGTTTTAGGCTGAAATTACTAYTAACATCAGGTRAAGGCTAGAAYAAGCTATCATTACTAGTAACATCAGGGAAAGGCTAGGTTTTCTGACTTGTACAAAGTGCCTAAATCTAAAGAAATTGAAAGAAAGTAATCTTTTTCAACATAGCTTCCTTATGGCTAATATCCAAATAGTGTATTCACATACACAATTTCATACCACTTTTTGCATGTCAACAACTTTGAAAAGACTGAATATCTTTTACAGTTATGTAAATATTTTTGGTAAAAAATGTAAGAAAATAAGTACATTTCAACYTGTGCATATTTCTTTGGTTGGTTTGTTTTAAAATTTATATGATATTCTCAGATTCCCTCCAGGATTTCTCTTGTGACTATAATTACCTTAGATTGTTTCCAGAATTTTYGACCTGATCTTCAATTTTCTTGTCATTCCAGTTGTTTCCTAAAATGACAAACCAGAAAAAACTTTTATAAATTTTGAGGAACTAGTAATGCCTTTATGTGCTCTTTATGGTAAATAATTCACCAACTGATTGCCTTTTCAAATTCTACATAAATGATCAAAATATTCATGWGTTCTCTAGTTGATTAATTAAAGAATCATCAATATTACCTATAAATGCCAGGTTTCTGAAGACTTCCAGCATCACGTCTATGTAAAGGTTCTTCTGAGATAGATCCAGCAAATGCCACTCTTCCAGGGTGAAGTTCACAGCCACATCCTCAAAGGTCACTGAGATCTTAAAAATGCCACAAATGTGTAGTGTAGTCCAGGATACACTGACAGCTTGATAAATCTATACTTAACATGCATGCTATTCAGATGATTCTCTGACCTTCTGATTAATTCTACAACTTGGTTCATCAAATCTTTGTGGCACTCAATTCTTCTCAGACATTCCAACACTTGAACTGGGCCACTTGGGAGGCAAAAAGCAAAGTGTTTTATACCGTTCTTTTGGTAAGTTCACAGTAAGTAAGGTGGGCTCCTGGTTCACTCCTCACTTCTGGGTTGGTTGCACCTCTATTACACATTCTAAAAATGTTCTGTGCAGTACAGAACTCATATTAGTACTCCTTATAGTACTTGCTCTTAGAAAAGAAAGACAACTTACTAGGAAATTGCTAGAATCATGGATAACAGCATTTGAGAGCAAATTTTCCAACCACAGTGTTTCACTGTGCCTACACAGTTAACATAGACAACATGGTATTTACTCATCTCTTGAAACTTTCTGGAAGTCCATTGTTCTATCTAAAAAGAAATTCCTAGAATCAGCCCCACTCACAACTTCTAGGCATGGGTCACAAAGAAACTTGTCTCAGGGACAAAATAAAGACAAAGTGTCAAACAGGTTGTCAAAATTTGTGAACTGGRGATTGAGTTCATCTATRTGATTACAGCAAGAGAGCAACAAGAAGTTTGAAGGTGCTTTACTCCAGATAAAGACTTTAGTCAACTAGTAAACAAGTACAATAATTAATGAACACAAAAATTTGATAATTGGTTGTGGTCACTTTCAAAGCAGAATGGTGTAATGGAAAGATCACAGGTGTCTTATAAATACCTCAATGGAACAAAGATGTCACCTTGTCCCAACAACAACCTTAAAAAGTTTTATGAGACTCAAAACGGTCTTCTTAATAAACAACAGGAACTACTATTCTAAATC